TGAAAGAATTACACAGAGAGAGGAGAGGCAGAGAGAGAGAGAGAGAGAGAGAGAGATGTCTTCCATTCCTTGGTTTACTCCCCAATTGGCCACAACGGCTGGAGCTGTGCCAATCCGAAGCCAGGAGCCAGGGGCTTCTTCCAGGTCTCCCACATGGGTGCAGAGGCCCAAGGACTTGGGCCATCTTCTACTGCTTTCCCAGGCTATAGCAGAGAGCTGGATCAAACAGGCGCCCATATGGGATGCCGGTGCTTCAGGCCAGGGTGTTAACCCGCTGCTCCACAGTGCCTGCCTCTAAACTTTTTTTTAAGGTAGATTTATTTATTTGAGAGGGAGAAGTCGTCCATCCACTGGTTCACTTCCTAAATGGCCAGAATGGCTGAAGCTGGGCTGATCTGAAGCCAGGAGCCAGGAACTTCTTCTGGGTCTCCCATGTGGATGCAAGGGGCCCAAGCACTTGGGGCATCTTCCACTGTTCTCCCAGGCTATCAGCAGGGAGCTGGATTAGAAGTGGAGCGGCCGAGACTCAAACCGGGGCCTACACTGTAGGCAGAGTTTTAACCTACTGTGTCACAGCACTGGCCTCCTGTTTAAACTTTTTAAAATGTACTTTTGTTTGAAAGACAGAGTATGTGTGCATGTGAGAGACAGAATGTGTGTGCGTGTATGTGTGTATGTGAGAGAGAGAGAGAGATATCTTCGATCTGCTAATTCACTACCCAAATACCTACAAAGACAGGATAGGGCCATGCCAAACCCAAGAAACAGGCACTCCATACAGGTCTCCCTTTTGGTGGGAGGGACCCAAGAACTGGAGCCATCATTTGTTGCCTCTCTGGGTGCATGTTAGCAAGAAGTTGGATTGGAAGCTGAGGTGAGACTCAATTCCAGGCACTCTGATACGGAGTGCTGGGCTCCCAACTGGCGCCTTAACCTGTTGTACTATATATAGTGCCTGCCCCCTACTTAATCTTTTTCTTCTTCCTTCTTTCAATTGGATTTATTATTAATATTATTATATACTTGTTTCCTTTCCCATTATACTTTCTTTTTAAGATTTATTTTATTTATTTGAAAGACAGAGTCATAGAGAGAGTTAGAGTCAGAGAGAGAGAAGGACTTCCATATGCTGGTTCACTCCCCAAATAACTACAACAGACAGAGCTGAGCTGATCTGAAGCCAGGAGCCGGGAGCTTCCTCCAGGTCTCCCATGTGGGTGCAGGGGCCCAAGGACCCTCTCCATCCTCTGCTGCTTTCCCAGGAGCATCAGCAGGGAGCTGGGAGGAACAGCCAGGACTTGAACCGGCACCCACATGAGGTGCAGGCACTGGTTCCAGGACTTTAACCTGCTGCATCACAGTGCTGGCCCTCTGTTATACTTTGAGTTCACATTCACACAGAAGCAAAAATGCTCTAAAAATGTATGTTGCATTATTTGGTTTCCCTCTATGCAATTCTTGAATAGACTAAAATAATTCAAATAGAATAACATTTAATGGCTGCAACAATCTGGTCTGGCCAGCATGAAACGAGGAGCCTGGAACTCAATCCTGGTCTCCCATGCAGATCACAGAGGTCCAAGTACTTGGACCATCTTCTGCTGCTTTCCCAGGTGCATTAGCAGGGAGCTGGTTTGGAAGTGGAGCGGTGAAGACTTGAACTGCCCCCATATGGGATGCTGGTGGCGTCTTAACCTGCTGTGCCACAATACTGGCCCATGTGTCTGATTTTGGAATCAGAGTAGTGCTGTTTCATATAAAAAGTTTGGAAAGCATTCTTCTGTTTTCTGAATTGTTTATGTGGAATTGGTCATAATTTTCTATAAATGTACACTCAGTAGAAAAGTCAGAATTCATCACTGAACTTCCCTTGGCTTGGAGTTTTGTTATCTATTTTCAACTGTGAATTCAATCATCTTTCAGGATATTTAAACGTTTTTCTTTGGATGAATTTTTGGAGTTGGTGGTTTTTTAAAGGAATTTGTTCTATCTAAATTGTTGGATTTATTGCCATGAAATTATTTGTAATATTCTTTCCTAAAAGAAATATAGAATTCTGTAAGATTCATCCTTAGAATATTATACAATTCATTCTTTAAAAGTGTACAAGGCAGGTGTTGTGGTGCAGCAGGTTAAGCTGCTGCTTAGGATGCCAATATTTCCACATCAGAGCACTTGGGATCAAGTTCTGCCTTCACCAGCATTTATGTGGGATGCTGGCATCATGGGCGATGGCTGCTGCCACAGTGCTGACCCCTTAAATAAAAATTTTGTTGATATCTTTGTATCAAGTAACTGAGAGCTTGATTGTTTGGGAAAGGTGTTTCACTGTTATCTTAGTGCTTTTTACAACTGGCTTTCAGTGTCTCTTTGTGTCTCTTTTAAAATCATATAGTAAAGTGTACATATTTAGTATTTTCATTTATAATAATAACTGAAGAATCAGGTACTCACTATGAAGCTGTAGTATAACCCTTCTTTTGAATTTTTCCAAGCTGTTTTAAAAGCTTCAATGTCTCATAGTTTGGGTTGCATTTAGCTTGGAGTTAACAGTTTCACTTTTGTAGTAAGTTGTATGGCTTATAATTCTTCTATGTATATCACTAGAACTTTTACTATTTTTAGATTTTCTGTAGTCTTTCTTGTGTGCCATGAATCTGAGATCCTATAATCAGTTTAACACAATAGTACCAGTGTTAGACTGCAAGTAGTAGAAAAAGTAATTCTTTTTAGGGAAGATTGCTTTTTGTATTTGCTTTTGAATGCTTGCATAGTCAACGAATTTTATTAGTACATGAAAACAAGCAGAGCTCTGTAGCAAGGCATAAATAAGAAGGCTTTGGTAATAGGGCCTAAATAGTTTGTTTTTGATTTCGTGTGCTTTTTAAAAAACAAAGTAAGTCTTTTAAACTTCTGGAAGTATGTTACTGTGGTAATTTAAATAATTGAAGTGAAAAATACTAATTTTCCTAATTCAAGCTTGTTTTGTTCTAGGAAGCATGTAGCATTTTTGCAGAATGGCTAAGTTCAAATTGTACTGTGAATGAAATGAACACAGTGAAGTGCTGTAAGGCTTTTGGCTAGTTTAATTGCATTGCTTATGATGAGATGTCAAGACAATCATTTTTTTTTTTTTTTCAAAGGATTTTATTTATTTGAGAGGTAGAGTAACCGATAGAGGGAGAGACAGAAAGGTCTTCCATCCACTGGTTCACTCCCCAAATGGCTACAGTGACCGGAGCTGAGCCGATCAGAAGCTGGGAGCCAGGATCTTCTTCTGGGTCTCCCATGCAGGTGCAAGGGCCCAAGGGCTTGGGCCATCTTCCACTGCTTTCCCAAGCTGTAAGCAGGAAGCTGGATCAGAAGAGGAGCAGCTGGGACGTGAGCCTGCGCCCATATGGGATGGTGGTGTCACAGGTGGAGGCTTAACCTGCTATGCCACAGTGCTGGCTTCTAGAGTTTCTTAATTACTCTTTCAGTGAATTTTTTTGCAAATATCTGAAGATTAAAGATTATTGACAAATTTTATCCATAAAACAATAGTTGGGTTTTCTATGTTTCCGTACAGAATTTTTATTGTGTAGGAATTTGGAGTGATACACTGGGGAGAATCATTTTAGAAAGCCATACAAAGGCTTCTTTCGTTGGTATAGATGAGTGAAACATTGTTTTGTAATTCATTTTTTCCACAGTTGATCTGATTGAAATATTTCATATAATAGGTTTTGTCATCATCATAATCACATGAATGTATTTCTCAAGACTGGTAATCAATAATGATGTCTGTTTAAGAAGCTTATTTTCAAGGAATGTTTATATAGCTACATCTTGATTCATTTTAAATTTATTTACTTGCAGAATGCCTTTTACAAATTTGTCCTACAGAGAAATAATCTAAAGCAAAAAGATTACTTTAAAAGTTATCACATTTCAAGTAGTCATGAATTTTTAAAAAATTTTTTTAAGATTTACTTATTTGAAAGGTAGAATTACAGAGAGAGAGAGAGAGAGGGAAAGAAAGATCTTCCTTTTGCTGATTCATTCTCAAATGGTCCACAATGGCTGGAGCTGGGCCAATCCAAAGCCAGGAACCAGGAGCTTCTTCCAGGTCCCCCACACGGGTGACAGGGGCCCAAGCATTTTGGCCAACTTCCACTGCTTTCCCGATTAGGATCGGAAGTGAATCAGCCAGGACTTGAACATACAGTGCTGGCATTGCAGACCATGGTTTAACCTACTGCATCACAGTATCAGTCCCTTATATCATTCTCACGCAGCATAGATTTATTCCCTAATACTGTCTTCTTCTTCTTTTTTTTTTTTGACAGGCAGAGTTAGAGAGAGAGAGAGACAGAGAGAAAGGTCTTCCTCCCGCTGGTACACCCCTCGAATGGCTGCTATGGCCGGTGCGCTGCACCAGTCCAAAGCCAGGAGCTAGGCGCCTCCTCCCAGTTTTCCATGTCGGTGCAGGCCCAAGCACTTGGGCCATCCTCCACTGCCTTCTTGGGCCACAGCAGAGAGCTGGACTGGAAGAGGAGTGACCAGGACAGAATCCAGAGCCCCGACCAGGACTAGAACCCGGGGTGCCGGCGCCTCAGGTGGCGGATTAGCCTAGTGAGCTGCGGCGCTGGCCTCCCTAATACTGTCTTAAAATGCAAAAGTGTACTTTTCTACTAATGTCTGGACAGTTAAGAGATTTTGGGAAATGAGATATATCTACCTTAGTAGTCAGCTTTCACATCTCGTAGGAATTTTGACTTAAATTTAGTAAACTTAACAAACTTTTATGTGAGTACTCTCTGATAAGAACCTGGGACAGTGTTAGCAAATCATCTTAGACTGTGGAAGATATCGTGTATTTCCTAGCTAAGTGTAGGAATTATTTGTGAAGTTTAGAAAATGAATTATGCTGTAGAAATGTTTAGAAATCTTATCACTTTTATCCACAAATCTAAACAATAACACATCTATAGTGATGATATTGTGGTTTTCCTTCACAGATACCAAGTTTTGCTAGTAGAACCGTAGAAATAATTAATACCTGAAGTCTCAATGTATGGACATTAAGAGTGATGACAGATAAATACAGACGTTTGGGATTCAGATACTAGGCGAAACACTTTTAAAAAGGTAAGAAAAAACTGTAATCTTAATTAAAGCCAAGTGGGGTTAGTTAGAAATAATTGACTGAAGTTTCTTTTTCAGTGTATTAGGCTTTTAAGAAACACATGTACAGGATCCTTTCTGTCTTATTACTGGTAGAACTCAGCTGTAAGTATCAATTCTTACGTGAAAAATAACAGTCACAAATATTCTTGCTTTATAAATACATAGTGGATGATATATCGTTAGTGACTCCTTATCACTTAGCTATCCTAATATGACTGACTAGAACTTAATAAGGAGTATTAGAATGGGCACATTCATGCATGCCCGGAGACACATTTTAAGTTGTGGGTCATCTTTTCTTGTGATAATTGCCACCACCATTGTGTACTATATATAATATAATATAATATAATGCTTTGCCATGTTTGTGAAAGGCATCAGGGTTGGGTGCAAAGGAGTGGTCAGTTAGAGTGTTTGTTTCCAGTAGAGTGAATTTTCAGGTCTAGAGTTACTTTTGGTAGGATTTTATTTTGTCCATGTTTCTGCTGCTGATGTTAATTTAGATAACTTTAAAAATTAGTATTAAATGTTTTTGTTTAGATAGTTTTCCTGTTGTGCTTTTTCAGCAATTTACATGGCATATTTGGGAGAGGTGGCATCTGTAGATCAGCCCTGTTCCCCTAGAGCTGACTAAAGCAGTGATCTGTTTTTATAAGGAAATAACTCTAGTTTACAAGATTTGATATTACATCAATGTTTACATTTTAATCCTTTATTAAAAATAGTATCACTTCTAGATTACCTACTTTTGTGCTCATAATGTTCATCATAAATAAATGCTGGTCTTTTTCCTGGTGTTCCTCCTTGTTTTCATATTGGCACTCATAATAACCTGTTCAGCCAGGTTGTACGTTCTCTGAGAAAGATGTCATAGTACATTATTACAGTAAAACTGTAATTAAGTAGACTGTTTCAAGACTTGGAATATAATTAGGCTAACTTGGTACTAAAACCAGAAAATCCTTGTTTTTTTTCCTTGTTGAAAATCCATATGCTAAAAATAGTAAATTTCCTTTGATGATTGAGTATTATAGCACTTTTAGTAAGCATCAAGGTTATCCTCTGAGTATAGAAGACTTAGTTGGTATGTATTACCTAAATGGTTTTTTGTTGTTGTTGTTGCTCAATCCCAAGCTTTTACAAATTTTAAGCCCAACTTTTGGGAAGTCCTCTAGAATAAGAGTAAGAGATTATAACTTCTATTATGAGAAATCATATCAAGGGTGATCTTTAGATCACTGTAAAAACACATAATGTGTTAAAACAGTCTCCTGAGATGAGCTGAGGCACATTTTGACTCAAACAAATGTTGTTATAAGGATTTGGTATATATCAAGCTCTTTCTGTTTGTTTCTAAAAATCCTATCCCAGTTTCTTAATATCCTTTAGGCAACAGAGTTGTCCAGAGGCATCAGAGATGTCACCATGAACCGATTCTGTTACCTGCTAGTTCTTCTTGTTATAGGAGTGAATCTTAATTAGCTTAAGTTAATTTTCTTTTTTAATTCTTCTTTTTATTATTTTATTTTAAAAAAGGAGTTTAGAAGGTTCTAGTATTCTCCATGGCTGAAGCTGAGAGTCTGAAACCCTGATGCTTAAGCTCTATTCTAGATCGTAGCGCCAGCTCCTTCAGGATATAAGGAAAAGAGATAATATTTCCACAATGATAGATCTTTGGTTTTACAGGTAAGTTATTTAGTTTTGCAGTGGTGAACACAACTCTATTTTGAAAAAAAAAAAAAAAATGTTTTGTAAGGAAAGGAGACTTTTTTTCCCTTTATGGGAAATTGTATAGTCTTCCTAGCTGCTTATAGGAGCATGGAAACATAGGGAATGGGTTAAGGATGAAATATTTTCCTACTGTTTTCCCAATAGAAAAATAAATGAATTGACTGAGTGTATTGGGATATCCGAACTATTAACTGTTTTTGACACCCTAAATATTTCAAGGAACAACGTGAAACTCTTTGACTTCTCTTTCTTCCCAGTTGTCTTTTTAAGTGTGTATTTATCCAGATTGATCAATTTATCTCTTTATCTGTCATATCTGTCTCTTTTTTTATGTTTATTTATTTATTTGAAAGAGTTACACAGAGAGAGAGAAGGGGGGAGAGACAGAGACAGAGAAAGAGAGAGAGAGTGAGTTTATCCATCCAACGGTTCACTCCCCAATTGGCCACAATGGCTGGAGCTGCGCCGATCTGAAGCCAGGAGCTTCTTCCAGGTCTCCCATACAGGTTCAGGACTTGAGTCAGGCTATAGCAGAAAGCTGGATTGGAAATGGAGCAGCCTGGACTGGAACCAGCGCCCATATGGGATGCAGGCACTACAGGTGGCAGCTTTACACACTACACCACAGTGCTGGCCCCATATCTGTCTCTTACTGGGGAAGAAAGTAGAAATCCCTTTACTTTTTATAAGATTTTATTATTCATTTTGAAAGGCAAAGTGTTAGAGATTTCATTTACTATTTCACTACCCAAATGGTTTCAATGCCCAAAGCTGGTCCAGGCTGCAGCCAGGAGCCAAAATTCCATTCAGGTCTCTCATATGGGTGGCAGGGGCCCAGACTATTAGGACATCTTTGCTGTATTCCCAGACGCATTAGTATGGAGCTAGATAGGAATCAGAGTAGCCAGGACTTGAACCGGTGCTCTGCAAGTGGCAACTGAATCTTTTAAGCCACAGTACTATTCTCCCAGAAATTCCTTTACAAAGCACAGTACCTATTACTGGACCTCAAAGAGGCAACTAAGAACCTTAGGTTTAATCACATGGTTAGGCCTCCAAGTTTCACTCTTCTGCTATTAACCTTATGCATTTGGTGGTAATTGCATATCTGAAGTGATTTGTCTTAAAGGAATTATGACAAGCATAGATTGAACATGGTTAGATAGTTCATGTTTATATTCTAGACAACTAGAAAAACAATTATTGGTGGCACTTCAGTTGCTTTGTTTTTCCTTTTCCTTTTGATTGTCTACATAAGTATATAGCTATATCGTTACTAGGTTCCTAAAAATTGTTCATTTAATAAAACTAAATAAGATAATAATATCAACTCAAACATTGGTGTTAATGGAGGATTGCCAGCTCCTGAATTCCCAAAATAATTTATAGCACTTTGGTGATTACAGTAGATGTAAAAGGCTTCAGGCACTATGTTTAGAATTCTTTTTGAGGTATCTTTTCTTTTCCTTTTTCTCTTTCTTTTTCTTTTCTTTTCCTTATTTTCTTTCTTTTTAATAAAAGCAATAGCTGGAGCACTATTTCATTAGATTGGGCAGGTTTTTTTTTGAAGATTTATTTATGTATGTGAAAATCAGAGTTACACAGAGAGGGGGGGGGGGGGCCTTCCACGCGATGGTTCACTTCCCAATTGGCCACAACGGACCTAGCTGTGCTGATCTGAAGCTAGGAGCCAGGAGCTTCTTTTGGGTCTCCCACATAGGTGCAGGGGCCCAAGGACTTGGACCATCTTCTACTGCTTTCCCAGGCCACAGCAGAGAGCTGGATCGGAAGTGGAGCAGCTGGGACTCTAACCAGAGCCCATGTGGGATGCTGGCACTTAAGGCCTGGGCATTAACCCACTGTGCCACAGTGCCAGCCACGGCAGTTTTTGTGTAATATTTATTTTTACTTTTTACTGATGCAGTTCTACAGATATGATCACAGGGACTGCAAATTAATAATCTGAAGCACAGCAGATAATGTCTGAGAATTATGTAGTTAGAATTGAGTAAAAGATTCAGATAGTTCAACATCAGATAAGTGGGTGGAATATGTGGAATTGTGAGTAGGATTTTGGACAGACTGAAATTTGACTGAGAGACGCATATCAGATGTGTCTTTCCGCAGGATGAAAATTTAGGAGGCAGGGAAAAGGTGTTTAATTTTAGTGATCACATTTGCTTCCCTCTGTATTCCAGAAAGTGCTACTGTTCAATAGTTGGTGGGTGACATATAGGAAAAACTTCAGCCTAGTTTCTAGATTGGGTTTTGCCTATATAAATATGTTAAATACTGGTTTTCTTTGATTCTAAAACTAGAGTGATTAAATTTCTGGTTTCAAATTGGTGCTTGCTATGGTTTTCCTGTTTAGTTACAGTACGGATATTTTCTGAGATGTAACTGAGTTCATTCCTATACATTAGCAGCCTAATATTTGTCAGACATATATAATTTTGTGCTCCAAACATTTTCAATGGATTTCTTAGTAACATTGTGTTATGCAGCTAAAAAGAGCTAACGAACAGCTTTAGCATGTACTAGTTTGCTAAGCATGGCAAATTATGTTGAGAAAATCTAGACATTTTTAGGCCCTTTATATAAAATTTTATTACTTTTTTTGGTAGCCCTTTTCTCAAAATGGAGTTTTGCTTTCAGTTTGTCAGATAACTATAGAAAATATGTACCTTTATATATGCTCACCCAAAATGTAAAAGATAGGAAGAAAATGTTCCAACAGAAGAAAAAATTATCAGAATTATCAGAGGGAAGATTGGTAAAATCTTAACTCAAATCTGCATAATATCAATTAATTTATTTTGTTAAGTGCATGAAATATGTTAATTTCAGTCAAGAGATTTTTATAGTACTCTAGTTTGTGCTTCCTTAGGTCATGGCTTATTTATGAATTTTTTACTACTTGTATCTAGTAAGGAAATGGTACATTATAAATAGGTCTAATTTAGTTTGAAACTTGCTGACTGTACTTTCTGTTAGAATTCTGTCTTAGTGCAGTGTTCTAAAATAGTGCTGTCAAACCCTAAAATCTCTATCAATCACTTGGGAAACTGATTTAGTGGTAGGTCTTGGGGTAGGGCTGCTGTTCTTCATTTCTAACAAGCTTCCAAGAGATATCCATGATGCTGGTTCTCAGGCCACATTTTGAGTTGGAAGAATATAGGAAACAAAAAATCCTTGTTATTATTAAACAGATTAGATTCTCTTTAAATATGGACTAATAGTACAGGATTTGAGAACTCTAAAACTTGGGCTTCACTATATTTTTTACATGGAGTAAAAATAATTTTAGGGAGAAGAAACAAAGGTTTAGTCTTTTAATCATAATTTTGAAATTTAACCTTTCCATGTTAATTTTAATCACTGGAATGGTAAGTAAATAATATTGACTATCAGTGTACATAGTATTTTATAGATTTTTACATATATACTCCTTATTAGTAGTTCTGAATACTAGTAACAATAGATTTATTTTACCTAAAAAATCTCTTTGGGGGAAATTTGTATTATGAGATAGAGATTTTGCTTTTATTCAGATTTGTGTAGAAAGAAAAGAGTGGCTAGGGAAGTCTGTTGGAAAAATTTAAACGTTTATATGCCTTTAGTTGACTTTTTATTAAAAAAAAAGATTTATTATTTATTTGAAAGAGTTACAGGAAGAGGGAGAGACACAGAGATATTCCATTCGCTGGTTCACTTCCCAGATGGCCGCGATGGCCAGTGCTGGGCCAGACTGAAATCAGGAGCCAGGAGTGTTGTCTGGTTCTCCCATGTGGGTGGCAGGGACCCAAACACTTTGGTTGTCTGCTGCTTTTCTGAGGACATTGGCAGGGAGCTCGACTGGAAGTGGAGCAGCTGGGACTCAAACCAGTGCCCAGGACCGTATGGAATGCAGGCATTGCAGGCAGTGGCTTCACCTGCTATGCTGCAATGCTGGCCCCTAATTGACGTTTCATTTTAAAAAGTAATTGATAATAGATTCATTTTTGTGTATGTCTATAAAGTGTTACTTCTGCCAGTAGTATATCTGAAACATAAATTATAAATACAATTAATTTTACATTAAATTAAAGATTTGTGTTTACATTTTTAAAGTAGCTTATAGCTTTTATGTTTTCTGTATATATTTATACAGGTATTTCATATTTAAAAATCAATAACCTTCGAATTTTAGAGTTAAGATTTGGGTACCTGAAACAAATAAATTATGTTTTAGAATTTTTCTGTTTGTGTTCTTTTAAGACATCATTTGAAGTTTAACTTTTTTTAAAATTAAAAGTAGAAATTTATTGCAGTGTTTAATACCTGTGAATAAAACCAGAAAGACTGTAATATTGACTATGTTAGCAAAATACAATTGCATGTCAGAGTCCCTTTAATGAATCCCCAAATAGAAGGAGTTTACTGTAAGGAAAATGTTTCTAAGTTCTCATAAGTGGGCCATACTATTGTTCTTTTGATTGCTATGACATGTTTCTAGAACAATTAATTGTATGTTAATTCCAGGGCTGGTTCTATGAGTCTTGTAAGACTTCTTAAAATCGTTGATTAAAATTTTTTGCCATACTTTCAAACTAAACTTATTCAACCAACTTACATATTTTACAGGGTACTTTTTACTTGATTCATGTATCAGCAGGGAAGAAACAGGGAGACAATTTCCTGTAATGTTTCTTTTTTGTATGTGGTAGCATTTTGCTTTGTCTTTGTAGTTCTAACCTGTCACTTGTTAGATACTTCTAATTGAAGCAAAGGATTAGATTTGCAGGGGCAGATGATATAGAATGGTATTTGGAGGGTTATATGAGAGGAGAGATGACAAAAGGCAAGAAGAGGAAGGAGATTATCAAACTGTATACTTGCAACCATTATTGGCTTCTTTCTCTAATCATCTGGTATCCCATTCAGAGTTACGCAGTGAAGTAGCTGATACCCTATGAAAGGCTAACAGAAAAAGAGTAAGGGAATAGAGACTTGAAATGTTAATAGTTTCTTTGTTCTGCTTAACTGGGAGAGCTTTTGGAAAATATCACTAAATTGTTCAAAGTTTATCCAAGTGGGTCAAGCAGGGCAGTTTTCAATATCCTGTCATTTTTGTCTTAGAAACACCAACTAACCATATGAGAAAACTTGCTCATTGCCCAAATTGCACATTGAAGTTGGCATGCATTATTTATACTAGTTCTGAGAAGGAAAAGGTGGGGTTATAGGTGCTTTCTTAAATGTAAATATTTGCCTCAGTATATTCTTTTCCATCTTCTATCTTTTTTACAACACTTTCTTTCACTTGCTGATTTATGACATTATGGCTAGAAACTAGGAAATCTTGGGTTTGTTTTGCTTTGTCCTTAGCAAATATAAGCTAGAATTGTGATTTCTATTCTGTTTAATTACAAAAATTTCTGTTGCTGCCACAGATTTTTTGGATGCCAAAGAGTTTAGGTTGAAACTCTTTTAACCTGAAACTCATTTTAGTTAGAGTGAGTTAAAAAGAGTAGAGCCTGCCTTTTTCTACATCTTGGAAATATTTTGAGTAAACATCAGAAATACTTGGAATAGATTTTATAAGGTTGCTGCTGTGAAGATTATTTTAATAATCAAAATGAAATTCCATCTTTAAGACTGATCTTTTACGAATACTTTGTGTCTGAGAGACAGATACGCAATGAGGCAAGTTGAGAGGATGTTTTCTAGCCATATAACTTTCTAGCTGTGTGAACTTACACACACTGCTCAAACTATCTGTGCCTGTCTCCTCATTTGTAAAGTAGGGATGATAGAACTTATCTGAATTATTGTGAAGCTTAAGCAAATTAACTTACGTAAAACAGAATGATTCCCAGAACACATTAAGTGCCATAAAATTGTTAGCTGTCATTAATAATATTGGGAATGTTAATATTTTATTATGTAATTTATTAATATTGGCTATACTTGGATTAAAAGTTATAGCTTTGTACTTTTGTTTTAGGTATATTAACTATTACCTTTTTCTCATTATTTTGTTTACATTTTTGAAGGTTTCCCAATGAGTGGATCATGATGACCGTAATGTAGGGACTTGCCATAGTATGGCTGCTTCCCGATCTACTCGTGTTACAAGATCAACAGTGGGGTTAAACGGCTTGGATGAATCTTTTTGTGGTAGAACTTTAAGGAATCGTAGCATTGCTCACCCTGAAGAAATCTCTTCTCATTCTCAAGTACGATCAAGATCACCAAAGAAGAGACCAGAGCCTGTGCAAATTCAGAAAGGAAACAACAATGGAAGAACCACTGATTTAAAACAGCAAAGTGCTCGGGAGTCATGGGTAAGCCCTAGGAAAAGAGGACTGTCTTCTTCAGAAAAGGATAACTTAGAAAGGCAGGCTGTAGAAAATTGTGAGAGAAAGCAAACAGAACCTGTTTCACCAGTTTTAAAAAGAATTAAGCGTTGTCTTAGATCTGAAGCACCAAACAGTTCAGAGGAAGATTCACCTATAAAGTCAGACAAGGAGTCAGTAGAACAGAGGAGTACAGTAGTGGACAATGATGCAGATTTTCAAGGGACGAAACGAGCTTGTCGATGTCTTATACTGGATGATTGTGAGAAAAGGGAAATTAAAAAGGTGAATCTCAGTGAGCAAGGGCCGCTTAATTCTGCAATAGTTGAAGAAATCACAGGCTATTTGACTGTCAATGGTGTTGATGACAGTGATTCAGCTGTTATAAACTGTGATGACTGTCAGCCTGATGGGAACACTAAGCAAAATAGCACTGGTTCCTATGTGTTGCAGGAAAAATCAGTAACTGAAAATGGGGATTCGGAAACCCAAACTTCAATGTTCCTTGATAGTAGGAAGGAGGACAGTTACGTAGACCATAACGTGCCTTGCACAAATTCAGAAGTGCAGGTCAAGTTGGAGGACCACAAAATAGTAACTGCCTGCCTGCCTGTGGAACATGTTAATCAGCTGACTACTGAGCCAGCTACAGGCCCTGTTTCTGAAATTCAGTCATCTTTAAGGGATTCTGAGGAAGAAGTAGATGTGGTGGGAGATAGCAATGCCTCAAAAGAGCAGTGTAACGAAAACACCAATAACGTCTTGGACACAGCTCTTGAAAGTACACCAGTCTCTGGAGAATCAGAACCATCTTCTGTTCTAGACTGTGTTTCAGCTCAAATGATGTCTTTATCAGAACCTCAAGAACATCGCTATACCTTGAGAACTTCACCACGAAGGGCGGTACCCAGAGGTAGTCCCACTAAAAACAGTTCTCCTTGCAGAGAAAATGGACAATTTGAGGAGAATAATCTTAGTCCCACTGAAACAAATCCAACTGTTAGTGATAATGTAAGTGAGTCTCTCACAAATCCTGATGAAATTTCTGAAAATGAAAAAGATAAATGTTGTGACTCTCAAAATTACGGAAGTGATGGACTAAGTAAGCCATCCTCAGAAGCAAGACTCAATATTGGACATTTGCCATCTGCCAAAGAGAGTGCCAATCAGCACATTACAGAAGAGGAAGATGATGATCCTGATGTTTATTACTTTGAATCAGATCATGTGGCACTGAAACACAACAAAGAGTATGTGTAAATATGGTAACCATGAATTCTGCTTTGTTTCTTATTCCCCAAGTTTTCACTATCTATTCATAATTGTGTATTAGTAGTGTTTTTTAAAAAAATATTAGAAGTAATATTTATTTATTTGAAAGGCAGAGAGAGAGCTCCCATCTACTGGTTCACTCACCAAATGACTGCAAAAGCTGGGGTTAGGCAAGGCCAAAGCCTCGTGCTCAGCACTTTATCTTGTCTCCCTTATGGGTGACAGGGACCCAATTACCCAAGACATCACCTGCTGTCTCCCAGGGTGCTTATTAGCAGGAAACAAACCGGCACCCATACGGGATGTCGGCACTGCAGGTAGTGGCTTTACCCACTGTGCTACAGTGCTGGCCCCTAGAAATCTGCTTTTATCTTTGACATTTGTGATTTACAGAGGTAGATGTTACTTTTAAAACTGTGACAGGTAGTTGTATATTGTAATTAGCATAGTAACAAGTTGTCTACTATGTAGTTAACATAAAACATTTAACATAGGTTTTCCTGATTTTGAGGATGAGAGAAGACTATCTCAAAAATCATTGCCTCAATCTTTGCTTTAGGTACCTTTGTTATAAGGAATTTTGTGTCCAAATTTTTCACAGTTTCACTTTAAGGTATTCTGGGCACTAATGTAAATGTATTTGAGCCAACTGTATCTAATGATCCAGAAGAACTGTAACACAAAGTACTTACCATAAAAACTATGAGCAACAATAGAAAACACAGGCTTACATAATAAGTTAATCATCCTTATTCCTATAGGGTAGGCTTTTTATTTTGTTTGTTTAACAGAAATATATATAATCTGTTTGTTTGAAAGAGAGAGAGAGAGCGAGAGAGAACTTGAGTGCCAAATGCTCTCAACAGTTAAGGTTGGGCCAGGCCAAAGCCAGGAGACTGGAACTCATTCTGTGTCTCCCCTGTGGGTGACAGTGATTCAAGTACCTGTCATCACCTGCTGCCTTCTGGGGTGCTCATTGCTGTAAGCTGCATGAGAAGCAGAACCAGGATTTAACCCAGGAGACTCCGATATGGGATGCAGGCATCCTAAGCCCTAAGCAATGTTTTAACCACTGTGCCAAATGTGGTTCCCCCCCGCCCCGGGTAGACTTTGAATCAGAATCACAGATCATTCACCTGTGCAAAAATACTTTGATTTGAGGAACTTTTCTGATGTTTTTTTGTTGTGACAGTTGCTAGACTTGGTGTGTTCAGATCAAAGTATTAAATCTTGGTTATTCTTTTTTGTGTATAATATAAATAATTCATATTTGTGTATGGTCCTTGATAGCCTTTGAGCATAGGTCTAATTCTTGAGTATTTTTTTAAAAAAGATTTGTCTATTTGTTTGAAAGGCAGAGAGAGAGAGAGAGAGAGATCTTCCATCTGCTGATTTATTCCTCAAATGGCCACAATGGCCAGAGCTGAGCCAATCCATTGCCAGGAGCCAGGAGCTTCTTCCGGGTCTTCCATGTGGGTGCAGAGGTCCAAGTACTTGGACCATCTTCTGCTGCTTTTTCAGGTGTATTATCAGGTAGCTGGATTGGAAGTGGAGCAGCCAAGTCTCCAACCAGTGCCTATATGGGTTGCCAGCACTGCAGGTGGTGGCTTTCCCTGCTACGCCATAGCACTGGCCCATTGGGTGCTTTTTTAAGTGATATTTTTATCTGAGAATCTTATAAATATACTTGGGAAAATGTTAGGAGTCCCATGTATTTGATATGCTTGAAGTCCAATTTGAGATAGAAAAAACAGCTTATAAATGAATTTTTTTTTTCAGATAGGAGTAAATGGAGACATTGCTGTTCATAATAGTTTCAGGTTTTTGTTTTGTAGTTGCTTATTTATTTGGTGGACAGAGAAAGAGAGAGCTCCCATTCTCTCATTTACTTCCCAAATGCTTACAGTAGCTGAGTTGGGGCCAATTTGAGCCATCACCACTGCCTTCCAGAGTCTGCATTGGTAGGAAGCTGGAGTCAGGAATTGGAGCTGGGCATTGAACCCAGACACTCATATGTAGGATGCAGGTGTCTTAACCTGCATTTTAACCATTATGTCAGATATCCACCCTTTTTAGTTATCAGTTTTCAAAAGTAGAGATATTTATCTGCAGGTGCAAGGAAACAGTCATATGTCTTGGGGAAATACCAAAATCTCAAGCAGTGCGAATTTTTACAAAATTATATTTTATCTATTTTGCTATTTGCTTTTTATTGTTACTTTAGCAAAAGAGATGCTATCCTAAGCTCTGGCTAGTTTTTAATTCTGGAATATATTTTTCTAATAATTCACTATATTATTACTTTTTTTTTGTAAAAAGACCACCTGGTGAGAATAAATATTTTTTGAAAGGCCAGGTCTGTCTGGGCCAGGCTGAAGCTAGGAGCTAGGAATTCCACTTTAGCCTCCTGCAGGGGCCAGATTACTTGGACTATTCTCTACTGCCTTCCCAGGCACATTAGCAGGAAGTTGAATTTGAAGCAGAGCAGCCAGGACTAGAACCATCAGTCTGATATGGGACTACACAAGTGGTGGCTTAACCTGCTATTCTACAGTGCCAGCCCCTTGATGGGATTTCTGAAGATTGGTGTTTTCATAAAGCAATTTTCTCCCCACCCCCTGGGAAGATTGACACATTTATTATTTTCTCACATAATTACCTTATTGTGGGGCATTTGTAATAGAACACATTACAGATGCTAAGCACCTGCCTGGTTCCCCTCAGTGTAGTTGCAAGGAGCGGACCAGGGCAGAACCATCCTCACCGCAAGATGGTGCCCGCAATGCTCCCTTCTGCCGCAGTTTTCTAAAACTAATAGCCATAACATTTAAAAGGTGATGTTCCACATTAATAACCCTTTGTGGATGACAGCAGTACAGTTCCATGGGTTCTTTTGGATATGCAGAGTCCTTTGGAATTTGGGTGCTACTTACTTCTTTCATATAGTATTTTCAATGCCTCATTGGGTAATTTTGAACAAAAGAAGTCACTCATTTTTGCTTTTTTGGCCTTGCTTCAAAATTATTGAAGCTCATATCTTTGACACTTCATTTTTAACTTTTCCTTTTTTCAAAGGAAGCAAATGGGGGAAAATGAGATGGAGAGGGAGCATCATAATTAGTTTTTCAGTGATAAGGAAAATTGGGAACAGCGTATTTGATCAGATGTACTCTTATTTAGTAACGTCCCATTTTCTTACCCTGTGACTCCAATCCTATATTGATATTAAAGATCTATTTATTTATTTGTTTGAAAGAGTTAGAGGCAGAGAGAGAGAGAGAGAGAGATCGTCCATCCACTTGTAAACTCCCCAGGTGGCTGTAACTGCCAGCACTGGGACAGGCTGAAGCCGTGAGCCAAGAGCTTCATTTGGGTCTCCCACGTGTGTGGCAGGGTTCTAAACACTTGGGCCATCCTCCATGCTTTTCCCAGGCCATTAGCATGGTGCTGTATTGGAAGTAGAGCAGTGGGGACACAAACTGGCTCCTATATAGAATGCTGGTGTCACTAGCGGTAGCTTTACCCACTGTGCCACAATGCAGGCTCTTATTCATATATTTTTTTAATCTGGAACTCCAATGACTGACTGTAATGTTGGCACTTAACTGAGTTGTCATTGTTAAAAATAGCATAGTGTTATGCCTATCAAGTGCTTTCAAGTCTCAAATGATGCTAAAAGGCACTCACTGTTAAAAAACAAAGAAAGCAAAAAAAAAAAAAAAAAAGGAAAGCACTTAGTGTAGATGGATTATTATTCTGTTGTACACAGACAAGACATGTATACAGGCTGTCAAATATTTTTTTACCGTGTTTTCCCTGTGCTAGAAAATTCTCTGGATAATTACCTTTTGAAACTGGGATTAAGTATTGCCCAGTATCTACCAGTACGGAATGAGTGTACTTTATGATAGCCAGTTTTAAAAATAGATCATTAATGCAAAATAATGAGTATGTCATAGTTTTCTTCAGCGATGTAAACATAACAACCTTATTTTAATTGAAACACCCCTTTAAGCCATCAATTATAATTCAATCAGCAGCATTCTTTCCTAGTATTCAGTTTACAATTTATTCATCATGCTTGTAGTCATATCACATATAGTGTTATCTTATTACTTGTAAATATTTGAAATGATGCTGTGTGTAGGATTCTGAACTTTGACTTGATTTATGGTAAATTAGGCCATAGGCCAGGGAGGGGAATCTGCAGGTATTCTGGATGCTTACTTACCCTGTTGTCTCTGTCAGTGCCATTCCTCTTCTCTAGCACATACACTCATATGAGCTTTTATATATTTATTTTTCCAAGTGGATAACCTGACTGCGATCAAGGGACTAGAGAGTATCTTTTTCTCTGGCAAGATTCCAAGCTGTGGATTATTTTACTAGACAGGCCTTCTCAGAGATTAGAATGTGGGGATCAAAAGAAATGCACTTTATCTTAAAGCTTTCTGTTGTCATGTTGGAGTGGTAGATAATACCTAGTCACTCCCTTTGTGGTCTGAATGGCTTGACTGAGATCATGCACTTACCTATGATTGCCTTTCTGTTTGGAAGTATGCTTTTGCTGATTTTGAATCAGAAGCATTGAAATTAATCTCTTAAGTTTTGAAGTTCTCTCTAGGAAATATAAATAAAGATGATTTCAGGTCCTGGGCTTTGAAGTTCAGAGCATTTCATCCAGTTAAAAAAGGAATCATTGGAAAATAAATTTTCATTTTCTTTATTTTAAAATATTTATTTATGGGGCTGGCACCATTGCATAACCAGTAAAGCTGCTGCCTGCAGTGCCAGCACCCCATGTGTGCACCAGTTGAAGTCCCAGCTCTTCCATTTCCAGTCTGGCTCTCAGCTAATGCTCCTGGGAAAGTAGCGGAAGATGGCCCAAGTCCTTGGGGCCCTGCATCCATGTAGGAGACCTGGATGAAACTTCTTGCTTCTGGCTTTGGATGAGTCCAGCTCCAGCCATTGCAGCCAT